CTCGGATAGGTCATACATCCTTGGTGGATTCTCTTGACCTTTTTCATATAGGTTAACATCATCAAGCAAAGGTTTTGACATACAACCTCGAATAGGTCATACATCCTTGGTGGATCCTCTCAACCTTTTTCATATAGGTTAATGTTATTGAGCGAATGATGTAACATACAATCTCAGATAGGTTATCCATCATTGGTGAATTATCTCGACCTCTTTCATATATGTTAACATCATCGAGCAAAAGCTTTGTATACAACCTCAGATAGGGCATACATCCTTGGTGGATTCTTTCGATCTCTTCCATATATGATAACATCATCGAGCAAAGGCTTTAATATACAATCTCAAATAGGTCATACATCCTTGGTGGATCCTCTCAACCTCTTTTATATAGATTAATATCACTAGAATATCCTCAGACTTCTACCTGACGCTGAACTTTTACCCGTCGCTAGACTTTCATCAGACTTATGCCCATCATCAGACTTCTTCTAGTCGCTGGAATTTCATCGGACTTATGCCTTTCGTTGGACTTCTGACCATTATCGGACTTTCATCAAACTTATGTCTGTCACCAGATAGTCATTGGACTTATACCTAACACTGAACATTTACCCATTGTCAGACTTTTGCCCGTCGCAGGACTTTTATCGGACTTCTACCCGATGCTAAAGTTCCACCTGTCATTAGACTTCTACCCTTCATCAAACTTTTATCAGACTTCTACCTGATGCCAAATTTTTACCCATTATTAGACTTTTGCATGTCACTAGACTATCGTTGGACTTCTACCCGATGCTGAACTTCTACCCGTCATCAGACTTATGCCCATCGCCAGACTTTCATCAGAATTATGCCCGTTATTAAACTTCTACCCGATGTTAGACTTTCATCGGACTTATGCCCATCGCTCGACTATCGTCGGACTTCTACCCGATGGTGATCTTTTACCCATCGTTAGACTTATACCCGACATAAAACTTTTACCCGTTGTCGGACTTCTACCCTTCACTGAACTTTTGTCGGACCTCTACTCAATGTTAAACTTCAACCCATCGTTGGACTTCTACCTGTCGTCGAACTTTCATCGAATTTATGCCCGTCACCAGACTAGCATCAGACTTGTACCCGATGCCAAACTTTTACCCTTCGTCAAACTTCAACTAATCGCCAGGCTTTTGACAGCTTTATTCCTGTCGCCAAACTGTTATCGGACTTCTACACGACACTAAATTTTTATCAATCATTGGACTTTTACCTGACACAAAATTTTCACCCTTTATCAAACTTCTTTTCGATGTTAGGATTTTGTCCGTTGCTAGACTTACACCGATTATCGTCAGACCTCCATATAATCTCTAGAAAAAGGAGGAGTAAAATCGTACTCAAGGGGCCTTAGACCTATATAGGGGATACCATCTAAATAGGACTAAGGGAATGCCTCAGTGTGAGAGAGAGAAGAAGAAAAGGAGGAAACTCATACTCAGTGAGGGGCCCTAGACCTTGATAGGGGATACCACCTGAACAATACTAGGGGAATGCCTCAGCGTGAGGGAGAGACGAAGAATGGGTAGAAATCTCCTTCTTGTAGAGAGGGGACCTAGGCTTGGACAGGGGATGCCACTTGTACATAGCCTTGAGGGAAGGCCTCAAATGAAATAAAGGAGGAGGAAGAGATGAGCAAATTTTTCACACCCCAATGAGGGTATTTATAGGAAGGGGGAGAAGGGATAAAGTTAAAAAAAGAAAAGAAAAAGAAAAGTTTATTAAAAAAAATTGACCACTGGCAGTTAGTCAATGGTTAGCCGGAGGTTAGCCAACCATCGGCAGTTGGCCAAATTGCACAGCTAACTGCAGCTAGACATGGACAAGTCAGCCACATCATTCGGCCTAGGGTGGGGGCTAGGGCGTGGGCCAACCCAGGTGGTGCCTCCGGTGTAGGAGCTGGCTGCCGATGGCCAGCGACGGCTTGTCCGTCCCGACTCAATTTTAGCACTTTTAAAGCCGTTCGGGACCTCTAAACTTAAGATTGTATTATTTCCAAATTTCGAATAGCATAAAAATTTCACTAGGAGCTATAATGCATATTTTCAAACTTTTGGAGCATCGATGTCTAAAAATAGGAGGGAAACTGATACATCTTCAAGAAATTATCATGATCAAACATGAATCTTGAGGCTACATCAAGTTGGAAACTTCCAAAATTAAAATTAGAACCATCCATACTCAGATTTTAACAAACTTATAGCTGATCTGAATGTCTTAGAAATGCAAACCCAATGACATCAAATTTGACTCAATCCGAGTCCAAATGGGTCCAAATCAAGGGCCCGAAGAACTTTTGGAGGGTTCGAACCATAATTTGGATTACCAAACAGTTTCCAAACATGACATACTTATAATTGAATTGAGCGGCTGGATGAGACAAATCTAATAAGCCTAAGATCACTAAATTGAGATATAACTAAGACATTCAAATGCCCATCAAACGGTCCATAATCAAGGGATTCAACATGGACCGTCCATCCAAACAACTCCCCATTTACCCTTAATCTTCCTCCAAGTTATGAGCCATGCAACTCTAGAAAATCTGTAAATAGACCCCTCCTCCCTCTTAAAAAGGGGGGCTCCAAGCAAGTGAGCAAGAGAGAGATCAGAAATTGCTCTGTACTCCTCGCTCCTCCTCGACCATTGCCATGAGCTCCACTAGACCACCACATGAGGCCCTGAGCTCCATCGATTGACCACTTGAGGCCCTGAGTTCTATCAGCCCATAATTTGAGGCCCTGAATTCCGCTCGACCACCACTTGAGGAATTGAGTTTCACCAAACCATCACTTGAGGCCCTAAGCACCACCAGACCTCCACTTGAGGCCCTAAGCTCCACCAGACCACCGCTTGAAGCCCTGAGTTCCACTGGATCACCAATTGAGGCTTTAAGTTTTGTCGGACCACCATTTGAGTCACTGAGTTCTGCCTAACCACCACTTGAGGCCGTAAATTCTGCTAGACCACCACTTGAGGCCCTAGTTCCACCAGACCACCACTTGAGGCCATGAGTTCTACTGGACCACCACTTGAGGCTCTTAGCTATACCAGACCACCACTTGAGGCCCTGAGTTCCGCCAGACCACTTCTTGAGGTACTGAGCTCCACCAGACCACCACTTGAGGCCCTGAGTTCTGCTGGACCACCACTTGATGCCCTGAGCTCCACTTGACCATTGCTTGAGGCCTGGAGTTCTATTGGACCACCACTTGAGACCATGAGTTCTGTCGGACCACCACCTTAGGATTGAACTTCTGCCGGCCAACCACCTGAAGCCCAAAATTCTGCTAGACCACCACTTAACACCCAGAGTTCTACCGGACCACCACTTGATGTCCAAACTTTTACCAGAACACCACTTAAGGCTCGGACTTCTACTGGACCACCACCTAAGGCTTGGACTTCTGCCAGACCTCTACCTGAGGCCTAGAGTTCTATCGGACCACCACCTAAGGCCCAGACTTCTACTAGGCCACCACCTTATACTAAGAGTTCTACCGGAGTAACTCCCTACTACTACGGTCTCTCGAACCCATGTCTCCTACCGACTATAGTCATTCTGACCTCCGTCGCCTACTACGGTCCTTCTGACTTCCATCACCAGAAAACGGTCTTTCTGATCATGATCTCCTGCCAACTACGATCTTTCAGACCCTTTTTTTCCCGCTAACTACGGTCCTTTCGACCTCTGTCGCATACTACGATATTTCCGACTTCCATCACCAGAAAATGGTCTTTCTAACCCCGATTTCCTTCCAACTATGATCTTTCAAACCCCTGTTTTCAATCGACTATGATCCTTCCGACCTCCATCGCGTACTACGGTCCTTTCGACCTCTATTGCTAGATAATGATCTTTCTGACCCTAGTCTCTTTCCTACTATAATCTTTCCGACCTCTATCCTATCAACTATGGTTCTACCGACCAAACAACCATATCTATATTGATTATTGTAACTCCCACCATGTAATGCGATCTATATAATGTACATTTGTGACATCAAGTCAATGCCTTCTTCCAAGGAAGGGTCTCATTTGTAATCGACTACAAATACTAGTGGATTCATTCAAACTCAGCCAAACCCCATGGGTTTTCCTCCTTTTCAGGGGTTTCCACATACAAACTCTAGTGTTATGAATGCTACGTTATCTCTTTCATCTGCTTGTATGCTGGATATTCGTATAATGCTAAGATGTTAAACTTATATTTCTCTATCGCCGCGAATATTCCAGGACGCAACATTGCATTTGATGACTTCTTGCATTTGATGAATTCACTCATTTTGTATGATCATATTCCTGCTTTAAAGTTATTGCAGTGCTTAGCCTATGCTCATTATGATTAGTTTAGGCTGGTTTGATTGAAATTATCAATCCAAGTAAGCTTTCTTAAAAATGCATCACAAAAGTCATATTTTGCAACAAATCATCTTTTCTCATCAAACTAATATAATTTCAGTAATTCAATATGATTTGTAAGCCATTTAACTACTATTAATATGCTGGAAAATATGATATGTGCAAGCCTAACAAACCACAAGAGCTTGTCATTCTTTAGGGCAGAGAAGTGTCTGAGCGGCTTTGTCAGACGAAGAAATGAGGAAGACCAAAAGCAAACCTATAGCAAAGGATGGCGGTAGGCATGAGTACTGGTTCAGACGAAAACAGCTTGCTCTCTCCTCGGGTCTTGAGCAAAGACGAGCGATTAGGCAACAAAGGTAAGATCATAACAGGGGTTTTGACAAGAGTTAATTGAGTGATAGTTTAAATAAAATTTAAGATATTTAGATGATAGATTAGTAAATACTATAATTTAGATATAAAGTATGTAAATAAATTAATTTAAGATATTATGTATCTAAAAATCCTATATTAATAAAATCTGCCTTGACTCTTCAATTATTATATATAAAAAAAACTCTTCCTATTACTGGAGAGTGCTGGAGCCCCGCTCCACTTCCCAGCCTATTCGAGAACCTTCTACGCGCCTCAACCAAATCACCCACTCTCAAAATCCGCACTCGCTCCTTCCCTCCGCCGCAACCACAACTTATACCTTATCCCTCTCGCAAACACCATCCAGCTTCCTAACACTCCCTTCCAAATTCAAATTAGGGTTTTCAGATCTCCTCCTACCATAAAACCATGGCCTCTGCGTTCGCCTCCACCTCGGCCCATGCCTATGTCCTTGGCTCCTTCCCTTCCTGCAACCGTTCCCCTGCCAACAATGGTCCCTCGTTCAAGTCCGTCTTCTTCGGCGGCAGGCAGGCGGAACTTATCGGCGCTACCCGGTTAAAGCTCCGGCGTGCTCGTGGGGCGGGGCCTGTGCGAGTGGTTGCGGAGAAGGTTGTCGGGATAGATCTTGGGACGACAAACTCAGCGGTGGCGGCCATGGAGGGCGGCAAGCCTACTATCGTGACTAACGCAGAGGGGCAGAGGACGACGCCGTCGGTGGTCGCGTACACCAAGAATGGCGATCGGCTTGTAGGGCAGATAGCGAAGCGGCAAGCCGTGGTAAATCCCGAGAATACATTCTTCTCGGTGAAGCGGTTCATCGGACGCAAGATGTCGGAGGTTGACGAGGAGGCCAAGCAGGTTTCGTACAAGGTTTTGAGAGATGAGAACGGGAATGTGAAGCTTGATTGCCCTGCGATTGGGAAGCAATTTGCAGCCGAGGAGATCTCGGCTCAGGTCAATTTATTTTCTTATTTGTTCAATTTGTTTCTTTGTTATAAATTTGCCCAACTTTATTCTATTGTAAGCTGAAGCTGGCTTTGTTCCTAGAATGTCATTTTGTTTTTATTTTAATTTGCTGCTCCTTTTTGCATTTTGTCCTTTTTGTAAACTGTGATTGAATTGACTGTAAATGGGCAATTTGATGGAAATCTTGATTTGTGCTCAGATATATAGGTGCAAGATACCTTGAATGGTTGGTGTTGGTTTACCCGGTAAAAATGCCCGAGTAAAATTGAAGTCTTTTCTTTTGTTATTTTATTATAGAAACTGAGCTATACTTCACGTGCTGCAGGCTTCATTTTTCTTTTTATTTGATGAAAAAATTTTCTAGATTGGCTTTAGTATTGCTTATTTACTTATGGATTAATGGTGAATTTCTTGAAGGAGTTTTATTAATGGGTATGCTATGGATAAAGGGATTTAGTGCTAGATGGAAGTCGTGTATAGGTTTAGGTAGTGGGGCCTCTAATGCAATACTGACTAGAAAGTTTAGTGAGCAAATTTTTAAGAGGAAGATCTCATAAACCTTTGATTAAGCAGAAGTAGACCCTGAACACTAAAGGAGATTGAATTCTATAAGTTTTTAAAAGGATCAACTTGCTCCTTAATGAGCAAGTCTTTTTTTTCCCTCTTAAATTGGTCATGTCAACCTTTAATTTTTTATTTCAAATTTCAGCTAACAATTTGAGTTCCCCTCTACCGATACACATTTTCTTAAATTTTTTTTTTAAGTTCTTATTCTTGCTTTATAAAATTTTTCTGGTTCTTATTAATATTTAGAAAGTTTTCATGTCAATAAATTAGTGCAACTTTTGAATGCATTTTATTTCATTTTTTTAAAATGAAATTAAAGTGACCATTTTGATGTGATCATTGGAATACTGAATTATAATGATATATAATGCTATCAAAGCAAGAGATTCGCCTGATTGATAGTATTAAATGCTGCTAAAGATATCCAATATAGTCATTCTTAATTTTATTTTGATCACATTAAGGTATCCAATTTTTTTCATCCCAACTTTTCTTTGAATCATGCTATATGTATTCATTGTTGTCAAATTAATATGAATTCAAGAAATAGAAAATATAAGGATAATGAGCATACATATATTAGAGTGACATTTGATTGTGGTAATAATCATCATAATTTCATTATTTTGAGATACAAGTGATTGTGAACATTGATGGTAAGTGAAGGAGATTAGATTGACAACAAAACTTGATATTAAATTAAAATTTCAAATCACACTAGAACCGAGCTTTTAAAAAAAATTAAAATGACCACAATATCTTCTTGATTCCTGGCATTTATATCCTTGGTTGCTCTATTTTTTCATCCTTATATAATTTTTGCTTATAAGATTATCGCTGATTTTGTGTTACATTACACTGCAATAGTTTTTGAAGCGTCATTGTATCTTTTTTTTTTTTTTCAGATTTTTAATGTTAAAAATTTGTGCATCTTATCATATGGTAGTTGTATTATTATTATTTTATCAGACCAACGCCTTAAAAATGTATCATCACCATGTTTTCACTCCCGATATAATATGTCATTACAATCGAATACCCTTTCAATTGTAGTATATGTTTGTTTCTTTTGTGATATGCCGATAATTTTGTGAAACATCATATGAATACTATGGAGTCCAATTAAATGGAGTGTTGTCTCAATATATCTTTTACTTGCTAGCTTTCAACCCTACCCATTATAAACTTATTTCTCATGCCCTTATTTGTTGATAAAACGTCTTCCTGCAACCTCAATGATAGCTTAATGCTCTTGTGGCCAATGATGTTTTTGACAACGTGTTAATGGATTTTATGCTAGCTCAGGTGGATATACGAAATAATAGATTTTCTTAGATTTTAATTAGTACATATATTCATATTGGAGCATGGTTTAAAATTGCTCAATATGAGGCTCGCCTTTACGCAATTCCAGTAAAAAATGCCTCGATGCTTACGCCTCAAGTTTTTTTTAAGAGGCTTGCACCTCAACTTGGTTGAGGCTGGCCTCGCCTCACGCTATATATATTAAAACTTACATAAATCTTGAAGTAAATGCTCGACATTGGACTCTATAGGAGAGGAGGAAGGGGAGAGAGCAGTTCATCATAATGATGATTCAAATGAAGAACCCCTTAGTGATGACAGTGATGATGACTTATGAGTTCTTATGTGATATGTCATTGTTATTTATTTTTGAAAATTTGAATTATATGTTAATGAAAAGAATACTGGAATTTGGGAAAGATAGAATTTTGCGTTGAACTATATTTCATGTTGTCTTATTATTGGGATATTTTGATTTCACTTCATATTTTATGTTTTTTTTATGTTTTATATTATTCACTCATTAGTATATAAAAAATTTAACATTTTATGTTTATGCAATCTTTTGATTTTGAGGCTTACGCCTCAAAACGCCTTGAGGCTTACGCCTCGCCTCACGAATGAAAAACGCCTCAATACCCGATACGCAATTTTAAACATTGTATTGGAGTTTAATTTCTCAATTGCTTATCTAGTGACTGTTCTTTATTGCCCATTTATACTTAATTATGTTCTAAAAATTTATATTTTCCACTGAAGTCTTAATGCCATTAACCTTCTGTTGGTTCTCATTTATTAACCACGACAACTTATGTTAATTTTTAGCATGCATTGTCATATTTGGCAGAAAAGCTTGGGCTTCTTACCTTCACTTATCCTAAAAGGATATAGTCTCTCACCAAAATAACAATATCTTGTGGAAATAAATAAAATGTTACTTGTTCTAAAATCAATCCTTTATATTTTGCTACAATATAAAGTAAAAATAGAATGGGTAAAAGGTGTATAAATCACATTTTGCAGAGATGAGGATGCTCAGGTGGCTGAGTGGCTTTACCCTTAGAGATAGGATACGAAATGAGCATATATGTGAAAATGTTGGAGTAGCTCCAGTAGAAGATAAGATTAGTGAGAGTCGCCTTAGATGGTTTGGTCACATAAAAAGGCGGCCTTCCGATGATCCAGTTAGGAGAGTAGAGGTATTAGATTTGACTTGTGTTAAGAAAGGTAGGGGTAGACCTAGAAAGACGTGGTTAGAAAATATTAGGAATGACCTTCTTTATTAGATTTAAACGAGAATTTGACTTTTAATAAGACACAATGGAGAAAAAGGATTCATGTAGCCGACCCTACGTAGTGGAATAAAAGCTTGTTGTTGTTGTTGTCATGCTAGAATAACATGAATGCGAAAGATTAAATTGTTGGATATAGATTTGTGACATTTGTTCATTGGATGATACCTGACTTTACTAACAAATTTACTTGTTAAGCCCAAATCCTATTGATGAGAATTAAGGGTAGAAAATAATAGAGCAGAATGATCTCACAAAAACTTCTTTATCTTGATAAAAAATGCAAGAATAAGCCCAGAGCTTTTGAAGAGGTTAAAGAGCTCACCATAGAAGGGACACCCTCAACCATTCCACATCATTGCTTATTTCTAGGGTTTCGAAGGCTACATCAAAGGTTAAATAGAAGAAATAGGAATATAATCCATACAGAAATGTTCGTACAACGCTACACGCTAGTTTAGGACACGTTGGGCCGCTTGACTGGCTATAGGAGGATGACATTAACGAGCTGGAGGGTTGTCTATCATCAGGAGAGTCTATTAGGGGGCGAGTAGCCATTGAGCCAGCCTTGAGAGGTGGATTTGTAGTCAATTGGGGTCGCCATGTGAGGTTGGTGAGTGACGTTGGGATTTTGTTGTCACCCTGTTGAGGAAGGCAAGCCGAGGTGTTTAACGAAGATGAGGAGTTCTTGAGTACGGTAAAAATTATAGCCAAATGAGTGATGGGTTTGTTGAAGTAGGTGCTTTCTCGTAAATGGGTTTGGGAGGCTCGACAAACTCAAAGGATGAGAGTTTGATTGAGATGAGTGAACTACTTGTTTGGTGAGGAGCCTTTTGGTCGTCCAGTGTGAGGCGAGTTCCTGAGCAAGTATGGGCGAGTGGTGCTCTTTCCTTTGACGAATTTCTCTAATAACTGTGGGAGAGTCTTTCAAGGCGTTTGCTCCTAAAAGGGATTTCCTTATCATGACCTAATTGCTACCTATGAAGAACCCTGAGAAAGCAATGGAGGGTGTACATAAATAATGCATCCTCTCTAAAATTAGTTTAAAGCTGCCAAACACTCCCGTATATAAGAGAATAACATCTTTATTACATAGATAAGTTTTGGAGTGTTATATGGATGGCTAAGTGAAGCAATTAGATCTCAGGTGAAAGATCATCTAACCCCTTAAAAAGTGATATTTTAGGAAAATTCTTCCTCAACATTCCTTTAATTACATCTCAAAATGATAGCTTTGGACCAGTGATAATGGAAAACCAAAGTTTTTCCTACCAAAAATTAACATGTTTATTAAAGAGAAACTTAAGTTGGTGCGGTTAAAAAGAGACGTGCAACAAAAGGTTGATAATATAGAGACTTTAGTGGAAGCTGTATATGGATTTTTGGAATATAATCATGTATAAATGAGTAAAAAAATGTGATTAATTGATATGCATTATAGAGATGAAACTCTTATATGAAGATATTTGCTAATTATAATAGAATCTTTTTTTTTATGATTATTTTTGATATCCACCTTCATTAATACAAGATTTAAGTAAGTTAATCAATAAGATAACTCATTATAAGCATTGTTAGACACAAGAAAATGATGAGCTAGTATAGAGTTTGCATGTAGATGCTTTGTCAATAAATAAAGACGAGGTAATTTAATATTGGGTGATAGTTGAAAGTTAATGTAGATGACATATTATTTAGTTAGATAGCATAATATTTAGATGAGATTTTGAAAGATTGTGGGCATATCATAAGAGTAGCAAGCATGTGTTGAAATTGGAATGATATTAGATTATAATGGGATACCATGTTTAGAGTGAAAGTATGTCAAAGAGTTACTATGATGATGATAAATTGATAATAATGTGACTGCCAAATAATGATAAATTTTAAATAGGAGAAGATTAGCAGGAGGTGTACTGACGCTTCAACTGCTATTGTAGATGTTGTAAAATATAAAATCAATTTTTAATAATGTATAGGGGTGTCAATTTCTGGTCACGGGTCGGGTTCAGGTTGAATTCGAAATTGACCTAGCACTATTCGGGTCAACCCGAACCCGACCCATTTTTTTGAAAACGGGTCAGTTTTCCTGACCCGAACCCGACCCGCTACGGGTCCGGGTCAACCTGACACGACCCGAATGACCTGTTCCAACAAAAAAAATTACTAGTTTCCGGGTCAAAAACGGGTCTCTCCTCTTTTTCGGGTCAAAAACGGGTCTTATCTCCTCTTTTTCGGGTAAAAACGGGTCAATCTTGGGTTGCCGGGTCAAAATCTGGTCAATTTTGGGTAAAAGGGTTAACCCGAACCTGATCCGATTTTTGAAACGGGTCGAAATGTTGAACCCGAACCCGACCCGTTTCGGGTTCGGGTTGACCCGAACCTGAAATTTTCGGGTCGGGTTCGAGTCGGGTTTTCGGGTCGTGTCAAATATTGACACCCCTAATAATGTAAGCACAAACTTAACAAGGATGAACAAATGGAACAATTGAGGACATAAATGTGAGACGCCAAGAAAAATATGCAGATTATATGGTTACTTTAATTTTTTTGAATCATTTATTCTAATTGTTATGGTGTGATATGTAATCTTATTATGTAGTTGTACTGTCAATGTAATATCTTTGACTTATCACAAGTCCTCACAATCACTTGTATCAAAAAATTTAAATCAAGATATCATTAACAAAATCAGTTGTCAATTCAGTTTCCTTGTGATCATCATTCTCTTTTGTTTTTTATGTCTAGGGTTCTTATTAGTTTGGCAGCATTAGATACCATTAGTGTGGTTCAAAGAAAAGATAGAATAACATCATTGCTTATATTTTTTATTTGTATAAAATTTTCTTAGAATTTGATTAATTTGATAGCATTGGATATCTATAGTGTTGCTCAAAGAAAATCTGGAAGGACAACACTGGATGCAATTAATGTGGTTAAATGAAATTTGGAATAACTGCATTGAACATCTTTATGAGCATGGAATATCATTAATTGAACAAATCACTTTGATAGCATATGTATAATTATTGCTCTGCATTTCACTTAAAATGCCAATTCGGTCACATTGATTTCACTTATAAAATAAAAAATATTTTCTAACATTTTCTTAAAATTTTGAGATATTAACTTTCTAAATCTAAATAAGAACCTAAAAAAATTTAAATAACTCTTACTCTACTTGGTAATGTACATTAGCTTAAGTAATAGGCGGCTGGGGCTGCATTGTTCAGTTTAAAATTAAGATTATAGAACTTGTGGTTAATTTATGTTTCTTTGATTTGAAACTTTGTTTTCTCCTTTTGTCTCAGGTTTTGAGAAAGCTAGTTGATGATGCATCGAAGTTTTTAAATGACAAGGTTACAAAAGCGGTTGTCACAGTTCCTGCCTACTTCAATGATTCCCAACGGACAGCGACAAAGGATGCTGGTCGTATTGCAGGTTTAGAAGTCCTCCGTATCATCAACGAGCCAACGGCTGCATCTTTGGCATATGGTTTTGAGAAGAAGAACAATGAAACAATTTTGGTATTTGACCTGGGAGGTGGTACCTTTGACGTTTCAGGTAGTTGAATGATGTCTAATTTGTGTTGATGATCTGTTATGGCTTATCATGCATGATCAACTTTCATACTTCCATATTTCATCTTATGTTTATTTGAATTAGACATTTTTTTACTGGGTACACACTCCAGTATTTGAACTACAAACGCTGATATATCCCAATTCAAAGCTTTTAATGGATCATGGACCTGAGGTCTAGAACAAACTAAGTGCATTATTTTGTTGGATTTGAATTAAAATGTGCAACACAGTAACACTATTCTGTGATTTATATTGGTTTTGGGAATAAATTACCACTGTAAAGGTTTGAAGTTTATCACCAGTGCTGTGGAAGGTTTAACCTGTTGGTAAGTATTCTTTTGTACTATGATCTTCACATCTTAAGTATCAAAGCTGATGTGAATGACTGCGGTCTAGTTATGCTTCACATCGTATTTTTTATTTTCATGTTGGCGCAGCGTACATTAAAAGGGCCAGAATAAATATGTTTCTAACTTTGCTTGTGTGTAATTAATTGCTTTTTTGATGCTTTTTTAAGGTGCAATGTTAAGTCTGTCAATTTGATTGATCATTAAATTGTGAAGCAGGAACTTTGTAGGTAAAATGATTATGAAATGTAACTAGGAAATGTGCTTGTAGTTTCCCTGAGCAATGAGATGCAATTTCATTACTCAAGGAGGTTGCTGTCTATTTCACAGTGCTTTACCATGAAAATGCCATGGGTGGTGTTGGATTACTTAGGGTCAGGATTTTGTAATAGAAATAAATGGATATGTAGTATGAACTCATGCAAAAGTACTTTGGGTTTCATAGTTAACATGCCATTAATTAATTCAAGAGCTTTCTTTAAATGTAAATAATTAATATTAGAATAAGAATCCAAATGATAATGAAATGATCAAAATATTATGAGAAATTAAATGTTAAGTTAGAGTCAAGGTTTAAAATTGCGTAAATAAGCCTTGAGGCGGTTTTCGTCCGTGAGGCGAGGTGTAAGCCTCGAGGCGGTCTGAGGCGTAAGCCTCACGGACGCAGAAAGGATTTAAGCAGGTAAATAATAGCAAGATTCTATCATACAATAAAAACATCTAAATGACAAGTGGAATTAGTGGAAATTAAGAAAAGAGATGCAATAAAAGCATGTTCCAAAGTACAAAACCACAAAATTATAGTCTATCAGAACTCTCAAAATACAATTAAGAAAAAACATATAAAATCCAATCATATCCCATCACTAAATGGGTCTTCAAGGGAATTTTCTTCTCCAATTATATATATGAATGTCATATCTTCATCATCTTCAATATGACTCACTTTCTCTTTCCTATTCAATAAGAATGATCATTAATTCATTATCATGTTAATTGCTCACTTGATATAAATATAATGCAATAGCATATAAGTTGTGAAATACCTTTACTTGATTGTTGTGCTGCAGAGCTAGTGGATGTGTGTGGTGTGGTACTAGTGGATGTGTCCACTTGATCTGTTTCGCCCCTCAAGACATCCACACTTAGATCCTCTAGCTATAAGTTTGATAATGACAAATCTGTCTCATCATCTATGAACCACTCATTATCAGATGACACATCATCACACATCAATTGCCCCTAACCATATTTCCTAAAGCACAAATGCAAAATAATACACAAAAACATAAAATAATAAGCATGATATGAAGAAGTAGACTAACACTAATAACTATTACTAAAGATGATGAATAGAACAATATGCCGGATTGTCGGGGGTCCAAGGGGGTGTTGCCTCCTGGCGTGGTTCGACCTGCCCGGTTAGGTAAGGGTTAGCGCCCCTGCGGGGGTTTCCGAGGGCAGCGCCCCCGGAACAAAATTTTATTGTAAGAGTAATTTTGAAGTTCTGTTTGTTTTTAAAGTTCGTAAGTTGTTTGTATGGGAAGATACCGAGTAATACCGAGCATGTACCTAGCAGTACCATGCATGTACCTAGCGGTACTGAGCAGTATCGAGCATGTACCTAGCAGTACCGAGCATGTACCTAGCGGTACTGAGCGGTACCGAGCAAATACCTAGCTGTACCGAGCATATACTTAGCGGTATCGAGCATATACTCAGCGGTACCGAGCGTATACTGAGCGGTACCGAGCATATACTGAGCGGTACCGAGCATGTACATAGCGGTACCGAGCATGTACCTAGCGGTACCGAGAACTATGACCCTAGCTTTCCTATAAGTTGAAAAATAAAATCCTAAACTTAAAAAGAACCTTAAGAACACTTGAAGAAGTGATGTAGAGGGGAGGCCGGAAACAAATGACTCACCGGTGAGAGGCGGCGACGGCGAGAGAGGTGGCGGAAACGTGCGGGAGAGCTGAATCGGGCGTCTGCGTGCTTCCTGCGCGGCTTCGGTTGACGTCTTTGGTCGGGTAAGTGGGTATAAGGAAGAATTTAAGAGGTTTTTTAAGTAAGTGGGCCTCCATATTTGAGGCGTACGCCTCAAAAGAAATTGCGCAATAACGCTAGTGAGGCGCGCCTCACTCCACCTAAGGCGTATGCCTCATGATGCTTGAGAATTGCGTAGGCTTTGAGGCTATTTTGAAGCAAATTGCGCAAAGGCGCGCCTCAGATTGCTCAATTTTAAACTATGGTTAGAGTAACTTAAAATTAATGAGAAATTGAATTTATTCTCTATAAATTATATTTGTCAATTTTATTAAATTCACAGCGATAACAAATCAATATAAGTTATGCAAATGAAATAGAATAACACATTGAAATGTTAAATCAAGATAGTTAAGCTTTATGTTAATATAATAAGATGATTTCCCCTATAATTTAGTTAGTCTTATTTGTGCTGCACTCTTATGAATCACAAATCTAATTTACTCTCACAAGAATTAACTCAATTTAAAATCTAAGTTAATTCCATTTGCAATTTGAATTTTCCATAAATTTCCTATCCATAGTTGAAACTGCCAACACTATCATTGTCAGGTCCCAAGTACTGAATGAAAAAAAGAGGGTTGCATTAGGTAGTCGACAACTAGCGCAAAATTTGTGAAATAATCATAATATAAACTCTTTAATATATTATGTTAATGCTAGGGCATTCCTTCTAAACAACACAAGATGTAAGGGTCGCTGTACCGACGCCTGGATGCAGTGTTAAATAAGCAACTATTTCCACGTCATGGATGGATGTGGACAAAGAAGTTTATCTATGAATTCATGATTAGAATATGAGCTTGGAATATATGTTCTCTTATAGAAAAATAAATGAAATTAATACATATTATGATTCATAAGAAATTAAATATTCTATGCATTCAAGAAATTGAATGGTTTGGAGAGAAGATTAAAGATATTGATAGTTTAGGATTTAAATTATAGTATTTGAGTAGAAGTCATATTAGAAATTATATAAGTGTGATTATATATAAGAGTTTGAAGGATAATATTGTAGAAATTAATAGAATTTGAGATAGAATTATTGCTTTAAAAATTGCTATTGAATGCTAAGATTATTAATATTTTAAGTGTTTATGCTTCTCAAGTAGGTTTGGATATATGCTCAAAATTAAAATTTTGGAATGACTTAGAAGAATTAATATAAAATATATCTCTTGAAGAAAAAGTTTTAATTGTAGGAGATTTAAATGAACATGTTGGTAGAGTGGTAAAAGATTTTAAAAGCATTCATTGTGGCTATCAATTTTGAGCGACTAATGAAGTTATTATAATCATATTAAATTTTGCTCTAGTTTATAATTTGTTATTGTTAATATCTTATTTAAGAAAAGAGAAGATTAGTTTCAAAAAAAAAAAAAGAGAGAAGAGATGAGCATCTCATCACTTATAAAAAGAGATATTATAAAACTCATATTGATTATTTTTTATAATAAAGAAATAGATTATTTAGATTGCAAAGATTATAAAGTTATTTTGAGTCGAAGTATGTACCCAACATCATTTATTAATTTTGAACTTTAAGATGATGAAAAATAATCATATTTGTTAATGGCGAATGGTGCACCACGACATAAAATTGTCCATAGAACCATGGTGCATAGTTTAAATTCTTTAAATTTGTTTGATTTTTTTTTTTAATTTGATGTTTAATTAATTAGTAATTAATTGTGATATTTATATATAAATCTTAAAATATTTAATTATAATTTATAATTTGAAAATTATAACATGTTAGTAAAATAGCGTTTGCACCTTGTGCAATGCGCCTTTATGCATGCATGATGCAAATAACGAGTGCTATTTTGATGCGTCGTGCCATGAATATAACGTCGTATGTGTGTTGTGCCGCGTCGTGTGTTATGGCGCGCCTTTTGAGCCTTTGACATATATAATATAAAATAAGTAAACTATTGTCTTAGGATTAAGTGGGGGCATTTAAAGAACATTAACAAAAATTATTTTGGGAGTTAAATTCAAGATCTTAAGATTTTGATTGATAAGGAAGCTAGTTTTAAGTCAAAAAAGTAGTTATTATTGTTAAGAATATTGCAAAGGATGTGCTCGGAGTATCAGAAGAAAAAATCTTTAATATTAAAAATACTTGATGGTTGAATTTAAATGTGCAAGAAAAGATAATATATATAAAGTTTTGTTATAAAAAATAGTTTGAATGCAAAAGCTTGAAACTTTGGTAAAGATATAAAAGGGCACGTAAGAAATTTAAGAAAGACAATGCAATGCAAAGAATTTAACTCTTAATGATTTTTATAATATATTAGATACCAATGAGGGCGAAAAATCTATGTATAAGTTAACCAAACAAAGAGATAGGAGAAGTGAAGATTTAATTCAAGTAAAGTGCATTAAGGATGAATATAAAAAAATAATTTTATTTGAAGAGGATATTCAAAAAAGGTGGATTAGATATTTTGATAAGTTTTTCAATCAAGATTGTGAGATTATAATTGACTTTATTGATCTTAACACCCTAAATAAAAATAGAGATTTGTTTTTATTATTGTATTAAGAGGCTTTAAAGAAAATGAAGTGTAGAAAAATGATTGTATTTCATGATATTCCAATAGTGGTGTGGAAATTCTTAGGAGATGAAAGAAATATTTTGGCTTATAAAAATTTTCAATATTATTTTGAAAACTAAAAAGTTGCCAGTTGAGTGGAGAAAGAGTGTCTTGACTTTTGATTTTTATTTTTAAGAATAAAGGTGATACACAAGAGTGTGTGAATTATAGAAGAATTAAGTTAATGTGTCATACATTAAAACTATGTGAGAGAGTTATTGAGCATATAGTTTAAGACGCGATACTAATGTTTCTCAAAATCAATTTGGATTCATGCTGGGTAAGTTTATTATGGAAGCTATACATTTATTGAGAAGTATAGAGAGAATAAAGAGGAGTTATGCATGATATATATTGATTTAGAGAAAGCATATAGTTCCAAGAGAAGTGTTATGGAGAGTTCTAGAAAAGAAATGAGTTAATAATGCTTATATTCAAGTCATTAAAGATGATATATATGCAGGTTCTGTTACTTTGGTCAAATACAAGGTGGTTTGACCAAGTATTTTCTTAATTCAGTTGGATTACATCATGGATCAGGTTTTATACCTTATCTTTTTTGCTTTTGTCATGGATGTTCTTACTAGACATTTATAACAGAATGTTTCTTGGTGTATGTTTTTTATTGATGATGATATTCATTTTATTGATATGACTAGAGAGGGAGTTGTAGAAAAACTTGAATTATGAAGGTCAACCTTGAGTTTAAAGGTTTTCACATGAGTAGATTTAAAACCAAAGATATGGAGTATAATTTTAGTAGTAATAGATCTAGTGGAAGAGATTGTGACTTTGGGAGATCAAGTCATTTTTAGATATCTCGAGTCTATTGTTCAAAGTGGTGGTGAAAGATATGGGGATATTATTAGTATAATACAAGTTAGATGGTTGAAGTGGAGGAATGCATTGAGTCTGTTGTGTGATAGGAAAGTTCCCCTCAAATTTAAGTGAAAATTCTATAAGATGGTGGTGAGATATGCAATTCTTTATGACGCAAAATGTTGGCCATTTAAGGAGAAGCATAAAGTTTAGTGTTGTATAGATGAGGATGCTCAGGTGGATGAGTGGCTTCACTCTCAGAGAGAATGTGAAATTAGCATGTACGTGAAAATGTTGGAGTAGCTCCAGTGGTAGATAAGATTAAAGAGTCGCCTTAGATGGTTTGGACACATAAAACGTTGGCCTTCCGATGACTTGGTTAGGAAAGTAAATGTATTGGATTTGCATATGTTTAAAAAGGTAGGGGTAGAAAATATTAGCAATCACTTTTTTTATTAAATTTAAATGATAATAGGACACAATGGAGAAAAAATATTTATGTAGCCGACACCATGTAGTAAGATAATGCTTGATGTTGTTGTTGTAGTTGAAATTGCTAGTCCCACAAACAATTAATCTTTTATTACAAAGGGTGAGAATTTGAAAAACATGAATTGTACTAAGTTCAATAAAACAACTTGTAATACCACAAGTCTCCCACATATTATAAACGAATATTGCAATTAGTAAAACCACAATAGGCAAACAGACAACTGTCCTCAAATCAATAATTTCAAAATTAAAGGATAAATCCAAGCTTATGTTGCTGAAAGCTAGAGGATTCCCAATCAATCAATTTGTGAACCACGAACATGTCATAATAGTGGGGGCATAACTATAAAAAGTAGGACATAAGATGTCATGTATGTAATTTTTTTGGATAAATTATATATAAAATGTGTAATCAAAATACTTAATATCATTCTACTTTGAAAAAAAAAATATATACCATAAATGATTTTTATCATATTAGGCATATGCAGGGTGTGTTAGAGGTATCTTCATATGCTACATGTGTCTGACATGGGTACCTAAGGTTTTGAATTTTCAATGCTTTATAGCAATCCATGCTACAATCCTGCATCTCCAAACCAAAAACTTCACTGCACAAACCACAAAACCAGAGAATGCGCATCCCCAAGAATTTTCAGCATCAATTGAAAATATTTTCAAGAGGATAAGACCAAAATCCACCCCAAAAACAACGGAATGTAATTCCAAACTAAAGGGATCCCAACTGCTGTTTCGCATTAGTGGGTCTTTAGATAGGATTGTAGATAATTGTGGTTCGTTGAATATTTGACTGGCCTGCAGCCAATGGCATGTGACTGGAATCCAATTTCTTTGTTTTTTCTTGTCACATGCATTAAAATACATTTATTTTGGTATGAGTTTAATGAATTAAAGATGATTTTTTGCAGTTCTTGAGGTGGGTGATGGCGTCTTTGAGGTGCTGTCTACGTCAGGTGATACTCATCTTGGTGGTGATGACTTTGACAAGGTTAGTAATAAAGCGAATACCCTTATTATGTATTGAAGAAAGCTTGCATCTCTTAGATGATCTTTTGAAGGTTTTTTTTTAAGTTTTTTAGTTTACATTTAGTGCTGTTCGATAAATTATTTTTGTCCTGTTTTAGTTGGAGTTGTTGTAGCTTATCATAAGTATTTGATATTTGTAAGTCATATGTCTCATCTCAATCTTTTCATTTGTTGACAAGCCATTGGTGAGAATGGTTTTTATGACGGGTTTTTTCTTATGTTTTTTCTTGAGTGTTTACCATTTTTATTGTTGTGGTTTATTATTTCATGGTGTTGTGCTGTTTATGGAAATTGCTCTCATTTAGTTGTGTTACTACTTACTAATTGGTGTGAGCACAACTTGTTTCATTTGTTTTGATCTTTTAGAACATTTTTTTACATCCAAATTCTGATTTTCTTTGGTTGTGAATACCTCTCTTTTATGGTAATATAGCAGCATGTGTGTGATCATTTTCTTAGTAACATTTTTATATTGCCAATACTTGTGATTATCTTATCAGATGGTTATTATGCAAATAGAGCAAAAAATTTTGGCTATTTAAGATCGTTCACTTGGTGTTTCATTTATTTAGTAAAATGATGGAATTGAAATTGTTAAGATATTTGATGCTTCGGGCAGAGGATTGTTGATTGGCTTGCTTCAAGCTTTAAGAGGGATGAAGGCATTGACCTTCTAAAGGATAAACAAGCCCTACAGAGACTAACTGAGACAGCTGAGAAAGCTAAGATGGAGTTATCAACCTTGACGCAGACAAATATCAGGTCAGAAGTTTCTACCCTCGCACATTCTTTCCTTGAAATTTTCAGCTATTAAATTGTTACATTGTCATCATTGTCATCTTTCTTATTCTCATGAAGTTGTCTAGCTGGTGTGAAAGTAGTTGGCCATTAATTATCAGATGGGGCTTTTCATATTAATATTAATTCCATAAACCCTTTTTAGAATTGTAAGTTTGTAATATTATACAGCTGTTTAGCAATCCTATTCTATTGGCATGCCAAAATGAAAGATTTTGTCGTCAGCATTATTATTGTTCTTGTCTTTAAAATTTGTCTTTACATTTACAGCTTGCCGTTCATCACTGCAACTGCTGATGGCCCTAAACACATAGAAACAACTATAACAAGGGCAAAATTTGAGGAGCTATGTTCGGATCTTCTTGATAGGTATCCATCTGATCAATCATTGTTGACATGCTTTAGCTATTTTCTCCACGACGGTTTTAATAGAATTATACATAAAAGTACGATCATTAAAATCCCATTTCTGATCAATTATCTCCCGCTATCGATCAGTATTTTTAGCATATATTATTTTCTTCCAGTAGTAATTTAAATTCTCTGTGGACAGTTATTATTAGATTTTTTATGACTGCGTTTGTAGGCTTAAGACTCCTGTAGATAATGCTCTGCGGGATGCGAAACTTGCAGTCTCGGATTTGGATGAGATAATCCTTGTGGGTGGATCTACCCGTATACCTGCTGTTCAGGAACTTGTGAGAAAGATAACTGGAAAGGAACCAAATGTAACAGTTAACCCTGATGAGGTCGTTGCCCTTGGTGCTGCAGTTCAGGTTTGCATTTGTTAAATTTAATTTCAATTGTGAAACTATTTTTCTTACAACCGAACTTTATGTACTCATGTATCCAGAATTGGGGTGGCAATTAATTGGAATGGCAGCGTCTGTTTCTGCACAGTAGTAATGAACCAGCTAAAGGAGTCCATCTTGTCATTTAAGCAGCTTCCATCTGTGATGACTGGACTACTTTGAAAGGGAGGGAACATAAATAAGTTTAATGACTAATAATATTTGCAGTAATAATAAATTGTATTGGTTATTACAAGTTAAGGCTATTGAATAGTGAGGGTAAGTACCGGAGATAATTGGCCAAAGTGAGTGCATCACTCCCATTTATTTAAGATATTTGTGAAATTTTCCAGGAAAGCTAATCTAAGAATTTTCTTTTAAGAAATCTGCTAGAGTAGTCATGTGGAAGGTGGAACGTCTGCCAGATGTTATCATTCATCACCCTAACTATTTGAACATTTATTGATCATATAAGAAATATATGATAACCTTATTCATTTTTGTAATTTTAGCATTTTCATCATGAATAGTAAGCATATTTTGACATATGAATAATATTATATCTAGAAAATATAATTAATCGCAAGTTGGATGATTGAAGTGGAGGAATGCATCAAGTTTGTTGTGTCATAGAAAAGTCCACCTCAAACTTAAGGGAAAATTCTATAAGATGGTGGTGAGACCTGCAATGCTTTATGGTGCAGGATGTTAGCTATTAAAAGAGAAGCATAATATTAAGTTTAAGTGTTGCAGAGATGAGGATGCTCAGGTGGATGAGTAGCTTTACTCTTAGAGACATTATATATACGTGCAAAGGTTGGAGTAGCTCCAGTGGAAGATAAGATTAGACAGAGTCGTCTTAGATGATTTGGTCACATAAAACGGCGGCCTTCCGATGACCCTGTTAGGAAATTAGATCTATTAGATTTGACTTATGTTAAGAAAGGTCGAGGCAGATCTAAAAAGACTTGGTTAGAAAATATTAGAAATGACCTTTTTTTACTTAAATGAGAATTTAACTCTTAACAAGACAAAAAAAAACTCTTAACAAGACAATGGAAAAAAAAGATTCATGTAGTTGACGCCACGTAGTGGGATAAAGGCTTGATGATATTGTTGTTGTTGCAAGTTGATTTTTGAATAATATTTCTTTATAATGCTATCAATAATATGAGCGTGCATATGTTTGTAAACTAGTCATTGTTCTATTATGATCCTTTTTATGAATAATTGATCATTAATTAAATTTAATAAGAACAGTAATGACTTGTAATGCTCTTCAAAAGTAGATGATATATATTTGCTTTTAAAAATATAAAGTTTATTGAAGTTGTTTATGATTTTCTTGCTTGCATTCTCATAAAACTTTCCATTTGGGCAATACATTTGCATGCTTATGCATTATCGCATCATCTTGAATGTTTATGAAATTATCAATCCTATTACTTCACATGATGTAGAGTGGGATTTAGTCTTGATTTATCAATGGGATATTGCATGATTGAACGATGAGCCAAGTATAATAGGTCTATTTTGGAGGTAGAGCCATGATATCATCTGGTACCATGTCTTGTTATGCATGAATGAATTCATGAGATTAGCTCAGGAAAATAATTTTGAAGTGAAAACTCCTAAGCTTTGTCTGGATTTTTTTGTCCAACTTCCACTTTGATTTATATGGAAGTAATTTTGATGGGTGAAAAATACGCCTTGAAAGTTTCCAACTTGCAGGAGCACTGTCCCTGTCATCATGAGCAGAGAACACTGTTATATTGATTAACTCATCAAACTATGCGGGATTATGCTTATTTTATACATTAAACTCACAAATAGCACAGCAGCACACTTGTAACCAAGGAAGCCTTATCGGATCATAAGTGTGCCCGGTGGATTGTATTGATCAGAGCAGCTACTGATTATTTTAATGTGTAATTCTAACTAGTTTTTTTTCCAAGAGGAAAGAGTTTATCTAAATCAATTTTATTCAGTGTATGAACACAGATGAAAAGAGGAATGCTTTTAATTTCACGTTCCTGAATAGTGATAGATCTATGGTTTATCTATTAGTTCTCTTAATTTTGTTAGGCTTGCAATCCTGCGTTGATGATCTCCTCTTGATATCGAATTCTTGTGTTTCTCTAACTTCAGGCTGGAGTATTATCTGGAGACGTCAGTGACATTGTTCTTCTGGACGTTACACCATTATCTCTTGGTTTGGAGACCTTAGGTGGAGTGATGACAAAGATTATTCCAAGAAACACAACACTGCCTACATCCAAATCAGAGGTCTTCTCAACAGCAGCTGATGGTCAGACTAGCGTGGAGATCAATGTCCTGCAGGGTGAAAGAGAATTTGTGAGGGACAACAAGTCAGTGGGAAGTTTCCGCCTTGATGGAATTCCACCAGCACCTCGTGGAGTTCCACAAATTGAAGTCAAGTTTGATATTGACGCCAATGGCATTCTTTCTGTTACTGCAGTTGACAAGGGTACTGGAAAGAAGCAGGACATCACCATTACGGGGGCAAGCACGCTGCCCAGTGATGAGGTGTGCTTTCTGTAGGTCCTAATGAATTTTCATAGTTATAGTTTTCATTGAATTGAGTCTAGTAAATTCTGATTTCAATGCAGTAAAATGCTAGGATTGGATTTTTTGTTAGAAACCCGGTCCGTTGATGGTTCCTTGCTTACCAATTTTTTTGACGCATCTGATATCATACAGGTGGATAGGATGGTTAAGGAGGCAGAGAGGTTTGCAAAGGAGGATAAGGAGAAGAGAGATGCCATAGACACCAAGAATCAGGCAGACTCTGTAGTTTATCAGACTGAGAAGCAGTTGAAGGAGCTGGGAGAGAAGGTTCCTGCTGCTGTTAAAGAAAAGGTTGAGGCCAAGCTCAAGGAGCTCAAGGATGCCATCTCTGGTGGATCAACTCAGAGCATCAAGGACTCCATGGCTGCTTTAAATCAGGAGGTGATGCAGCTTGGTCAGTCCCTATACAACCCGCCTGGTGCAGCTGGTACTGGCCCTTCTCCTGGAGCCGATGCTGCTTCTACTGGCGGAGCTAGCAAGGGAACGGATGGTGGTGATGTGATCGATGCTGATTTCACTGACAGTAAGTAAAAGTTGGGATTGTTCATTTTTTAATGTTGAAAAATTGCATGAAAGGCCTAAAGAAACTCCATTAGATTCCTTTTTGCGAACATAAATGGTGCAAGAGTTTGTACTGCAGATTTATATGATTTCGACACCTATTGTGGAGTTTGAGATTAGTGTAAGAGAAGTTAGGGATTTTAACTTCAAAGCATGTATAGTATTTGGTTAGGGTTCTCCATGTCATTTAGCATCGCGTTTTCTTTTGCGTTTCATATATGTTAAGTGAGGGGATTGTGCATGTCGTTGCTTGTGCTTATTTTAACAGGATAAAGTCTATTAAGTTGATTATTACGTCTCCCAATTTGTTGGCTATCTTGTAATGATGAAAGCGGTAAAAGCTGCAGTATGGTCGTCTTTTCTTCTTAAAACGGTGCTGCTTGAAATATAATTTTTCATTCTTAGGGTGAGTATTTCCGTGGTTTGAGTAGTCAATTTATAGTTGCATCAAATTCCATATTTGCAAGCGTTATCTCAGATGTTTTTTTTCTTTTGTAAGGAGAAAGCATTAGCTGATAGTTATTATGTTGGCTTATTTTGTGCCTCAATATTCCTTTTTTTTTGGGCCGGTTTGGGAAATCGAACGGGAGCCGGCGGGGAGGCAACAATTGCGCTCAACCACGAAGCCGCCTCGCGCGTCCCCTCAATATTCTTTTCGAAGCTTGCTATTCTTTCAAGATCAGATTTCTTAGGATAAAATCAAATCCGATTTCTTTAGAGCTTATTTAGGTTGCCAGGAGTGATGCAAAATATAATGGTTTGAAGTTATGTACAATATTATATTTTTAAAGTTATTCTTCTTTTTTTTTTTCTTTGTAAGGGCAGTTTAAATAAAATGAACTTTCTATGGCAACTTGCAAATGGACTTTCTATGGAAACTTACAAATGGACTTTTCTTGCATAACATTTTAGAAGATGCTACTCGTAGTACTTTTGAGTGATTCTATTGCAATTTTTTTGGGGGGAAATTCTTCGTTTTAAGCTCAGGTGACGGGAATTTGGTCTTGGCCTTTTTGCCCCTTTATGAAACCGGAAGTAAATGCTACGCCCTTGAAAGTTTTCTTATCTAATAATAAATTGGTATATTCACCTATCTTTTGTTCTTTAGGGTTATAATGAAGTTAATGGCATTTTCTTGCGAAATGAGATAATATTTTAATATCATGAGGAAAAAAAAAAAATTGTCGGCTCAACCCAAAAACCTCTTCCAATATTTAGTGTTTCAATATAACAAATTATAGTATTGTCGATTTATAATATTTTGAAAATAAATTACATAAGCTATTAGCTCAAAAAAATAAACAACAAAATATCGAATTCAAATCCAATTTTCAACTCTCTTTAATTTAGTATATAATTTAATTTGTACTGATTTTGTGCCTTTTTATTTATAAATTATCTGTTATCTATTTATTTATTATGGTTCTAATAACTTACTCTCTATTAATATTATGAAAAAAATATATATAAAACACAAACAAAAGCAATAACAAACACCCAATTCGCCATGAGCACATCCAAGAAATACAATTTACGGCTTCACGGATCAAAATGAAGCCAACAAGTAAAATCATGAAGTTTTGAACACATCAAAGTGAATAACTACTTACAGAAAATGCCGGTCATAATAAACTCATGTGGGCTTTGAAAATTTGGCTGGCCTCTCCTGCTTCTTTCTCGGGGGAGTTTTAAAGGATAAAAGTTTCGAGGTAAATTTTGGGAAGGCAGATGGATTTGTAGATAAGACACTACCCAGAGATTTCGCCCTCATTTGATGAGGACTTTATGCTTTGAGTTTTGGTTTCCTATAGACGCAAGCCCCTATAGTTAATTATCACTCTCGATAACGAGATAGAACTTTTGATTAAGGCTAGTCGACAATTAGATACATAGACATAAGCGTTATCTGGCATATAGTAGCAGCATGGTCATTTAGGTATTTGAAAATTGATATTTTAAAATTGAAATTTCACCACATGACACTTAAAGTATATGGTGGGGAATAGATGATGGACCCGATCAAGATCCCATGGTTCCGTCATCACGGGCCATCATTGTCCTCAGTCTACTTAGTCAGAGGAGGTAGTTGACCCAACATGACAGAAGGATATTTGACGGCAGCCATGGGTTGCTTCGTCCAAGGGTACCTTATAGACCTGGGGGGAGTGTTTGTCTAAGGAGACAAGTTTGAATCCACCTTAGCTAAAAGAGGGTTTTGTGCCCTATCGATTATATCCTATTGATTCATATCTCAAGGATTTGATGCTAGTAAGAAACGTATTGGCTCTAACCATAACCGTTATCTCGTGGTGCCATTTGGTGGTAGAACCACTTGATTCATAGGGCCTTAGGTCATAAATGTTTACCTGTAGTGCTATTTGGTGGCTAAAATGTCAGTTAGAAGACACGTACCACGTCCTTACTAGTAGGAGATTATTTAAGAATGGAACCTAGTGATATTTTTGACTAGGTATTTGCTCTATGTGAGATGAAGTAAAATTTTTTTGTCCATCTTGGCAAACTGTTGCGGAGGGTGAATAAATTTTTCTTTAAGTGTTTTATGTTTGGATTTTAATTTTAAATATTTTGGAGTTTGAAATTTTTAGAAATTTGGATTTCGGGTATTTTAGATGGCATTTTGAAATATTTAGAATTAACCCATCTGATTGAGATTTGCATTCAACACGACCATTATCGAGATGTTTGGGGTCATTTCTATTTATGGATTGAACCTTGTCGACTTTGTCTGCTTCTCGACAAAGGATCAAGTTTCATAGGCCTTATGCGTTTGTGAATGAATTTTCTTTGTTGGAGGCCTTATTTGAACGTATGAAATAGACATTATGATCGACACCCAGACTGTATATCTATTTGATAGTTCGAGCCGTGTCGACTCCTATCATCCACGTTAAAGGATCTGGCTCGAACTACGTTTATTTATTGACCCGTGTAGTATCCTTAGATGTCACGTGTGTATCCAAAACACACTCGTTGGGCCCCATGCGGGTGTTTGGGAGTATTTTATAATTATTTATTGAACCTTATTGACTACTATTTTTCTGCTTAGGAGGACCATGTTCAAATTTATTGGCCCACATAACATCCTTAGACATCACGTGTGTACCCGCAACACGCTCACTGCGGCCCACGCAAGTGTTTGGGAGTATTTTATAATTATTTATTAAATATTGTTGACTACTATTTACCTGCTTAGGAGGAGCGGGTTTAAATTTATTGACCCGACATCCCTAGACGTCCTATGTGTTCCTATAATACACTCACTAGGGCTCATATAGGTGTTTGGGGGTATTTTATAATTATTTATTAAACCTTATCGACTCTTATTTACATGCTTAGGAGGATCGGGTTCAAATTTATTGACTCGTATAGCATTCCTATACGTCACGTGTGTTCCTACAACACGCTCGTTGGGGCCCATGTGGGTGTTTGAGGGCATTTTATAATTATTTTTTTGAACCTTGTCGACTCCTATTTACATGTTTAGGAGGATCAGGTTTAAATTTATTGATCCACGTAACATCCCAGATGTCATATGCGTTCCTAAAACACTCGCTTGGGCCCATACAGGTTTTGTGATTGCACTTGCCCATTTTGTGTACCTATGTGCATACATATTATGTTACATGTGTGGAGGGCATTCTTAGAATACTTGTAAATGCCTTCTTTCCGCATGCATGGATGTTACAAATCCAACGACGTGGCATTGTACTATAATCTTTTATCTGTTTCGTACATGTAGACTATCGTGAACTACTTGTTGCTTTATGCAGGTGAATTATAGTGCACTAACGAATCTCCTACTTTTATTTGTTGATATTTGCATTCACTGTGATTTTCGTGTCTTCTTATAGATAATGCATTTTACATACAACAAGTTTCCTACAATAACCCATAGGAACTTGCACTCATTATAGTCCTTTGGCATTTTACTCATGGATGATTACTAGCCTGTACGACGAGCCTCTTATAAGGGCCCGTAGGCGTGTTTGCTTTTACTATATTCCTTATGTATTTTTTTACGGTCTTTTGTCCTTGCAGTACATCTAATATTGTTTCCTGTAGGCAGGTATATGTATTCATTCACGGATTGAAATTAGTTACATGATACTGCATTTCCTGAAGTTTTTCTGCATCTACCCACAGGTGGTATATGGTGCTCACATCTATATTCGTAAAGGACTTGAATGTATTACATATCTTCCTACAATAACCCACGGGTATTTGTATTTGCTGTGTATCATCATCCTTTACTTGTAATAGACTAGCATATTCGCCAACTATTGAATGGTGGTTGATTGTAGAGGTGATGTGTCATTCACAAGTGTCCCTATCATTTTCATTGCTTGGGAGCATTTCTACTTTAACATACAAGCAGGTGGTTGTATGAGCAGTCTTTTATCATTGCTTGTAGGCACTATACGTATCCTTTGTAGTGGACCAATATTTCTTGCAAATTGATCTCATAAGGAGATTGATGCATTGGTCTACATGTTGGCTAGCGTTCACTGTAGGGGGATCACATCCCATTGAGTTTAATGTCTCTTTGGTAGATTAACACACTCATCAAAAACTCTCATGAGCCACTTGATCATGGTTATAAATGACATGTCGTATGCATATTGTTGATCTCCTTTTTACCCAACCTTTGGGTCAAAGGGTTTGACCTGGTGAAATTGAGAAAGCTAGGCCCCAGGACCACCTCCCTTGTGTTCACTAGGTAAAACCAAATTTGCTGAACCTAGACCTAAGCCCTAGGTCAACCTAGTTGACCAGGCCAACCTGGGTTGACCCAGATTGACCCATACACTCTCCATTTTAATTTTAAATCAAATTTAAACTCCCTTAGCCCAATTCTCACCTTCCTTTGGACTTAGTGGGTCAACCAAGTCTGCTGAGCCCAGACCCATGCCTTGGGTCAACCTGTTTGACCAGGTTAACCCACGTTGACCCATTTAACCTTTATGAGCCTAATTCAATTTCAAATCAATTCAAGGCTACCACGGACTCAAATCTCCACCTCCTTGGATCTAATTAACTAGGTTGATTAGGTCAACCATTGACTTGGTCAACCCAAGCTTTAATTTGGTCAAATTGATCTCTTTAAGTCAATTTAAAGCCCATTAATGCAATTAAACCTTTCCAAATTTTCTCTAGAGCCAAATCCTGTGCTAGTCAAGCCTAATTCCCTCCTAATTGATCTTAGAATAGATCTAGACTGTTCATCCTTAGCCTTGGCCTATAAATACACTCATTAGGGTTTCTTTTAGAGCTCTCTTGTAATTA